TGGTCGTGTTGATGGTGGTTTGGATAATCCGCTCGGCCCCATTGGATTCAGCTCTACAGGTATTCCCCCTGGACCCATTCCAGACCCAGAGGACGAAGGCCGAGGAGGGGTGGTAGGAGTGGCATCATCACTTAGCCACAAAACCTACCACCAAAAAGTACATACAGAGGTCATGGGAAGCTGTGCTCTCAAAGTAGTAATGTTTACAAACAAAAATAAAAAAACATAGACATCCACACATAACATGTATTTTTATGTGCAGTAAAGTTCAAGTATTTAGACACTGAACCATGTTTTCATCTATTTACCAACAGGTATATACATGATATGGGCTTGCTAAGTCTAACTCACATCTTAATTTTAGTTTGTGCATCTTGTAAAGATGCAACAGTCCTATAAATAAATAAACACCAAATCTAAAAAGTAACCCACACATTTTTCTGTAATCTGAAACCGGTGCTGGGTTTCCTCTGTGGTGGAGCTGTTCCAGGCCTTTACAGCAGCTCTGTCAGATTTCCTATGTGTTTTTCCCTAATCCACTTACTTTTGACCCTCATTTTAAAGAACTGTTGCTCATGACTTTTGATCCAACCTGTGTGTACTGTCACATTAAAGCTGGGCTGAGTTGGCACTTGAAGCTTTATCTTTAATCTATAACTAGAATGAGTTTTGAAGGGCAGTAAAAAATATCACCACTTAGGTCACTGTTCAAATGACTCTTTGCTACTAATACCAATGGATACTAACCCTTAACACCATTTTGAAGTAGATCTTGCTTGCCAAGCCAGAATTTTCCAGTTGAAACCACTGATCCAAAGTCAGTTTGGGAGAGGAGAGGAGATTACTCAAAGGAATACTCAGATTGCCCAATGAAAATGCACGGTCATCATCTTTGACCTGACGAAACACACATATAGCAACTTATAAAAATATATAGACAGAAATTCTGTGTTTTTAGTCATGTACATACTTGAATGTCAATCTCTTGTTTGCTAGGATCTTGAATGAAGAATGTAAAAGCATCTTCCCATGAAGGATTTGTAGTCCCATAACAAGTCTATTGGTTTGCAAAAGAGTGTATTAGATTATATAAATTCTATTATTTATAGTATTGAATAAAATATTTTTTCTCATCATACCTTGCTTTCTTTAGTTGTGTCCTGGACAGAGATCTGCACCATAGGACTTGGGTCTTTGTTTCCTTTTCTCATCTGAAAGATAATGCAATCCCTTATGTGAGCTGCATGCTTCAATAATACCTTTTTAGAGTTATGACAGTCTTACAGGCAAAGCATGAGCCTGATCAAGATAAACAGCAAGGATAGCTGCAGATGGAGGGTCAGTGGTTCGACTGGTCAAATTCTGATTCTTTTGGATGACCTGAGATCAGTAACAAACATGAGTAGGATATATCAAAATAAAATCCACATAGCCCTCTCAGCATCCCATTTCTACCTCACTCAGTCTCTCAGCAGAGGACAACAGAGAGAGCCACTCCAGTCGGAGGTGTACACTGCCACTTGGGACGTCCCGTAGATTGAACCACTGTTACACAAGAAAGGAGAGTATTAAAAGCATAGTTCCTATTTGAAGAAACTGCAGTTGGCACAAACAAAGATCACAAGAGGATCACATGAAGACTTCAACTAGGTCACATGCTGAGGATTACACCAGCTTTTTTCCATCACTTCTATGATGATAAAAAAAATTAATAACATAATTTGAAATGTGCACTGTGTGAAAATGTGTTTTTAACCAACATTAGTAATGACTAACAGAAGCAATGTTTCACAACTTACATCATCCACAATCCTAGCATTTTTTACAATGTCCAGGTCCACCTTAACCCTGAAAGAGAACACAAAGGAGCAGCATACAATCAATCAGGGCTGTTACTCAAAGATGCACATGAAGTGGCTCTTTAAATTGTGGCCCATTCTAGCCATAGAAGAGATGGGAGCATGAGAGGCACATAGAGACAGATTGATAATGATTGATAATGAAGAAGCTACCTGCCCAGGAAGTCATCCTGGTCTGGGTCTTTGTCAAAAACTTCCACCTCCAACTCCTGACCAGGCACTTCATGGACAATCACCTGACATACACACACACATAAATGGATGTACACAATACGCACCACAAAGATACTATCATAAGCAAGCACCTACAACAGCAGGACATAGCATGCAAACAGAATATCAGCAGCTACATTTCATTGTTGGTCAATTTCTTGTTTAGTATTAAAAACAAGAATAAATGTGACTTTGAAAAGGCATTTTAAATGCTGTTGAACTTGCATCTCTCATAGATAGAGGCTTCCTGTTACAGATGAAAAAGATAATATCTGAAAAAGCTGCCAAGAAGCAAAAGACAGCTTTTTAGCACCTATGACCTGCAGCCTCTACAAAGCAAGGACACCAACACTGAGCAGGTGCAACCAGAGAAATGGGCAATCTCCAGCTTTTGGAAAAGACAGTTAATAAAGTTATTAATTGATTCTCTGTATTGCTTGTACTCTTATTACTCGCTCACCTCAAACATCTCTCTCCATTGTGGATTCAGATTGCTGTCCACATGATGAGATGTGAACACCTGGGTCCCCACACGCAGCACAGCGTAAGGGTCTGACTTTCCATCAATTAACCCTTTAATAACAGTGTCCTTTGCTGTCAGGTTCTCTGCCTCCAGCAGGTGAATACGCACTACCCCCTGCAAATGGTACAGCACAGATAGTCACATAAGATCGATAGCAAAGCTTCTAAATACAGAATAAAGGGAAAAAAATGTTTTGTGATGTCTGGTTTGTCTGGTTAAGGGTAGTGCATAAAATACATATTCATCAGCACCATTGTGCTTTGTTCATTATGTAACAGTTACCCTTGGGAGAGGAGAGCGGAGCTGTGCAACAAGAAGATTGGAAACCAGGGGAATCGTGAGACGATTGGGAAGTACCAGGTGGGAGGCTATAGCATCCATAATCATTGTGTCCGACATGGCACTGTGAATGAAGGCACGTGGGTGAATTCTGAGATCCCAATGAATCCTATTTTATGCGACTGTCACATGCATATAGCCATTTTATTTTCATATAAGCAATAATACTTTAAGCTTACTTCAGTCCCGGAATATCCAAGAGATTGGTTAATCCTGTCCAGTTAATGTCCAGTTTCTATAAGTAATGATTACATAATTTAAAAATATATGTATTCACATTTTTTTTAATAATATGTTATTGGTGCCAATATACTTACTGGTCTACGGATAAAAAACATTGTAATGGCTCCAACAAGTGGTACATCTCCAATTAGGGGTTCAAGAATGACACGCAGCTTTCCATGGAGCTAGACAAAAAAAAAAAACAATAACTAAGACTGACCTTTGCTATTAAAATAATGTTATTTAATATGTTTACCTGAACACCTTTCACACCAGCTTTACAGAAGTACTTTTTGATTTCCACATTGATCTCAACATCGCCTGCATAGCTACAAGAAGAACAAAAACTAGCTTGAACCCTTAGATAAACTTTTGCTACTACAGAGAGCTTTTGTACTCAGAAAAAATAAATATTTACCAGCTCTAATATTTTAGACACCAACTAGTAGCAACCCAAGGCTAGACAGACTGGTTGCTAACACTCTATTTAGCAGGATGGAAAATGTTGTTACCTCACATACAAATCCAACATAACTTGTCTTTTATCATGTTCTGTGTGAGCCTTTACGCCAGCAATCTTCAGAGCCTGAAAAGACAACAGCTGAAGCGTTCAACAAAGCAAATGAACAGACTAAAAATGTAATTAGTATATTTAATAAGTAATTCTAATATTCAGTGTAAAATAATTCTGCATATGCATACCTTATCCCCCAGATTGACTTTGGTGAAGCTTAGAGTCTGCAAATGAATGCTTGATGCTCGGATAGATGGAGCAATAGTCTCAACCAACAATTTCTCAAGGTACTGCCCGATAAAAGGCCAAGCCTGCTGTAATATCTAAATAAAAATATTATAGTTAACCTGACTGCCAGTGTATGGCTACAAATTATTACAAATCTGTGCAGAAACATATTATTAATAACAATGCAAATGAAATAGTCTATCAAATCTAAATTGATTAGTCAAAAAAGTGTAACTGTACAAATATAGATTTACCACTATGAAGAACTGTACAATGAAGAAATTTACAATATACAATGCATTGGTACATAATATTACTTCTAATGCCACTTTTTTAACGGTATAGTGCAGTGATTCTCTCACCGACTACTACTATCCACCAGATGTGAACCAAGTCCATAACAATACCAGGTCTAAATGGAATAGAGGACAAAAATGTGGAGAAAACTGAAATTAGGGAGACACTAGAACTGCAGAGGACACCACATACCAGCAGAATGAGCCCTTTCAACATTTTGAAAACCACAAGTGTAGTTTATAATATAGAATTTGGACTCAGGACAAGTAATGCCACATGTAATACTGTCTCTTTGGTGTGAGATTTTGTGCATCTATTTTAAGTGTAGGAGAATAGTGCTAGTCCTGTTTATGTTAAATGTTTTAAACCTTGTGACCCATTTCCTTCTTCTAACACTTCTCCAAACAGCCATAATGCTCCTGGGACCAGGACCCTAAACACAACTAACCATGGTCATGTAAAGAAGATGTAATAGGAGTATTCACCACTCTTTTTACAGCGTTTTCTATTTTTTGGTGCATTGTTGCTTCCATCTTAATTACATGCACGCATTGAGAGAGAAAGAAGGGAAAAGGCGCCACCATTACAACGTGCATCTTCTGTCACTGAGTTCACTGGGTTTTCCCATTTCACAAGGGCAGTGGCATTTAGTATTCTATCCACACTTTCACAGTGAAGGTGCTGTACAGGCAGAGGGGGATCCTTCAATATAATCTCAAGCTCTTCTTGGTCACTTCATTATAGCTCATGATTATCTGCTGCAATGTGCAGGTTGCAGTCTCATCACCAAACTGCACCACTATCAATATTAACCAAGATCCAAGACAGTTTCTGTCAACTTTCATTGAAGTAAAGTAAGTCTTTATTTATATAGCGCATTTCACAGACATAAACACATACCTTATTCAGCCACTCCACTTTTTCAACATCTGGAAAATTGACCTGTGAATTAATAAAAAATATTGAAAATGAGAAATATAATCTAGTACTAAATGGCTTGCTGTAGAATAGGACGATCATGCCCTTGCTAAAATTATATAAAATGGCCTAGAAGGCTGATTAATACTTAAGAGGAAGATTGTTGGAGAATTTAAGTTTTGGTGTTCAAGAAACTGGAAGGTCAATAATGTTAGAATTAGATTAATGCTCTACTGTGTCAGTTTTATCTGGTGATAAGCCATATGTTACGGCTTTTTGTGCAGTAAATCCTGACAGGTTTTGGTTTTAGCTGATGGGTGTTAGTATTTTTCAGCTTCCTCTGGTAGTGCCAAACCGGATATCTTAATACGGGTTTGAAATCGATGATAAGTGAATACAAATACGAGCGCTTCATTAAAATAAGTGACTGTAAAAACTACCAGAAGACCCTTACCCAAGGAGGCAAATCCCGTTTGCTCCGGAAAACCTTTGCAGTTGTGAATTCCCTTTCATTCTCCAGTAGGTACATTGCGGATTTGAGCCTCATCACTTTTTCCAGCCGGCTGTGTTTCCATCCCATGTAAATCATGAGCGCAAGTAGGACCACGCTGATGCTGCATCCGTAGTACCCCGCCAGGTACACGGGCAGCAGCGCGCCCAGGCATTTACCGAACGACCACAGCGCACTGACAGCTCTCTCCCCGGGGGGATGGCTCGCTGAGGCCATCTCCGCAGTAGGATCTGTGGTCGTCATCTTCCAAAGATGCTAGGACAGACGGGTCCAGCCTTTTGCTTCTCTTTGACGGAGTGGTAAGCGCCAGACGCGCTGTACCACAGTTTAATAAACCGAGGGCATCGAGGAAGCACGTAAAATTAAGATAATTTAACGCTCAAATACTTGTGCGTGTTCACGCACTACCATTCACTTGCACAGCCCATCTACCTCATTCTGAATTGAGCGAGTGACTAGACCCACGAGGGCGGGCTCTACGTGAAACCCTCCTTCATAAGATCCAGTAGAAACCTTAGAATTTACTTGTAGCGTCATCCACGAAATCGGGAGGAGTCCATTCTCGTGGTAAAACTGGCACCATAAATTACGTTCTCAGTTAGTAGGAACACTAAGATCATCGTTATCCGCTTTACATAAGAAAGACGTGCGCGCAAGCGCTTCTCTGGCCATGCAGGTTCACATTTACAGCTCAGTAAATGTGAACCTGCTTAGTCTATAGCTCACGGATAATAACCTCCAAACTCACCACCACAGTGACTACCACTGCCATGGCGATACTTTTTACGGAAGAGCAGTTTCAGGCTCGACACTCATTGTGGCCTGGGAACAAAACAAACACCTAATCCTTGGTTGTGGTTCATCTCCGCGTGCCTGGCAACCAAACCCCAGCGGATTATAGCCTCCTAGTCGCTTAGCAGTGTTTGTATGAAGTGTACTTTGACCAATTGACAGAGGAAATTTAACCCTCGTTAAAAAAAACTTTTTTCACGCAATTTTTTATCATAAAAAATGTGCTGGCAAAAGCTCAGATTTTGATATTTGTCCAATCTGATCAATGCAAAGCACATTGGTGCTTGCTGTTCTTCACATAGCAGGCCCAGTGCAGGTCCATCCCAGACACAGCCCAGAGGAGCAATCAAGAGTGTGGTGCACTTCAGAGAAACAGGGTTACACCGCCTACAGCGTCTGTGGCCACCCCATCTAAAGGTGCTTCAAAAGGCTATTTTATACTCATTATTCAATAGCCTTATTTGCGTGCACATACGTGCACATGCAGACGTTTACACACTTGCACACACATGCCCACGTATATGCTCACACACGTACACACACACACGTGTACAGTGATTTGGGCTACTGTCGGTACATGTTTAGCTTCTGTGTGCTGTTTTAGGATTGTATTTATGGTTTCTTGATAAACACTAAACATGGACGCTGCGCCGGTCAAAGAGGGGGAAAAGCATTAAAACAATCTTCACTGACAGATGTTCAAGATGAATATAGTTTTGGACAAAAAGAAAAAAAAAAAAAGCCAAGTTGAAATAAACATTGATGATCAGTTGCTGACACTTCTTGATGAGAAGTCCCTGTATCATTATAATGCCAGAGTCTGGACATGCTGAAAACTCTGATCTGGTGGAGAGCAGTAATCACTTTAAGTCTGAAGCAGTTGCATTACTTTGCTGCTTTGCATTTCACATTTTGGAAAGAAATCATCATCTGACTAATTTTCAACCAAAATCAGTGTAAATTCAAAGCAAAAATAGCATTTAAAGGGTTCAAATACGGAAAACTGCAATCATATTTTGTGTCAATATTTAGAGCTGAAGAAGCTGAAAAGAAAGAGGCCAAAAAAGTTAAATATAATATTGAATAAAAATCTTTTGCGGATATCCAAATTCGGTGCACATTTTATGCGCTTAACGATAAACCTGTATTTCACAGTACACAAAATCTACCAATGCATAAAAACGAATGTTGGTGCCAATTATATACCTTTACCAGGCTGCAAGAAAACAGCACAAAATAATTTGCTTTGCATTTATCAGACTAGACAAATACCAAAATTTGTGCAAATACTATGCACATTTTATGCACTTAACGATTCTATCGCGACAATCTGATGAACAGTGTACTGACAGTCTGATGTGATCGTTGAACAGAAAGTTTACACATTCTCCAAAAACCACCACCTCATCATATTTCATGCTATTCGGATAAACGTGTACATAATTATCGACCAATTAAAAGTCAGAAGCACGCAAAATGCGCCGAACTCCGCCAGAGGGTTAAAAGTCAGCAGTGTATTATGCGTTCAGCAATGCCTGTGTAAATTCAGCGTACAGAAAATAAGGAAATTAATAGCGCGGAAATCAGTTACATATTTCTCTGGCAATATTAGAAGGAAGTTGTGGTCATAAATATGCGAACGAAGTGACTTCTACGTCGTATGACCAGCTATGCAGACAGAAGTTACAGTCATTGTGGGGACCTTGACCCTGAATTCTGGATGATAAAACAGTAAAAGCACCAATATGACTGCATGCATTTTCTGTTTGTTTTTGTTATACAACAGTTTATAGATGTAAAATGTTACAGTACAGTAGCTTACAATTTTAAAACGCTAACAGTGTCTATACCCATCATACTCCACAACCTAAATAGCTTTAAAAAGACCGGATCTAATATTTTATGTATTATCAAAAACCTTCAATCACAGTATGAAGAAGTACACATGAAAAATTTGATTGGACATGTAAAAGGTCCAGAACATTTCAGATCAATAGCCTACTGTCCAGCAGGTCTATTATCAGCGATAGGTGTTCTCCAGGTTGTTTCTCCCTGTAGCCCCTTGTTCAAGAAGGCATCACAGGTCTTGGAAGGTCAGGTCGGTCACAGAGTCTAGTTCATTTATTAAGAAGTGAAGACACTGTGAGGATTGTTTACTTCGACCTCTGTCTCATCTTTCTTCTTTTGCGCTTCAGCCTATCAAAGAAACCATTTAAGGTGGTATACATTTAACCAGAGGTAACTGCAATATCAAAATATTTCCAAATTATTAATCTCACCTGCGCATGCGCTTCTTCCTCCACTATGAAAACAAAAAGAACACATTGAGTCAATACTGCAAATACATTCATTCTCACATTATTGCTCAAAAACAATTTATATTAAAACATTGGTGCATGGTAACCAATCCCTTAGACATGACTACATCATTTTAATGTAATGTCTGTGTTTTGATTTTGGAGGTCATCAGATGGGTCAGCTCACACAGAGCCCAATGCTTCCACATCTGTTAGAATTTTTTTTTTTTTTTTTTTTTTAAAGGGTTAAACATCCCTAAATGCCCAAGCTCCCCTATTTTATGGAAATTGGGGGGGGGGGAAATGTACACTTTGTTTAGGTTAAATTTGGGGCTTCTTGTTATGATAATGATCATACACAATACATACATTGCTGGATTATGAGATTTGAGTTTGGTTTTAATAAACCTGGAGAGCTAGTGCCTTGACCTGCAGATGGAGTACACATAAAGGTTTCTCAGTAGGCTACATGGAAAGGCCATGTTATGTTGGCTGCATTTACTAGGATTTTCGTCATTTGGGTTTAAACTATAGGCCTACTACTTTATACAGTCAATGGCTTAATACACCTTGATTTCAACACTGAAACTGGCAACCCAAATACTGGATAATCATTATTGTAAAAGGCATATTTGATTAGGGAGAAAACAGGGCCATGGGAACATGGGAACATTAGAATACAAGTTTGTTAAACTGAATAACGTTATCATTAGTGTGTTTTTTAAATGACCCGCAACGACTGCTAAAGCGAGCAGCTACTACCCGTGAATGAATCCACTATCGCATAATGCGTAATACACCGACCTTTGCTCTCATTTCGAGGAGACCACCCTGAAAAAAAACATTAAAAAGACATTTTGTTTGGATGATGAACAAAAATGTAGATTTCAAATGGATTGTGCACGATGCAAACCTAAAACATTCCAGTCACTGCGATATCGCCTCTACGATAGACGTAATAGTTCTGCGTCGGTATTTATGCGTCAGGCTGTTCGAAGTGAACTATGGGAAATTGAGTACATGGTCTTATGGTCAACAAAGTTCCTGATTCAACCATGGAAGTACTAGTTTAGGGAAGACAAATAAAAAAGAAATACAAAAAAATATACCAATGTTATACACTATTTACAAACATGTCCCTTTTGAACACCCAAAGCTAGTAATATTTGATTTAACAAAATTGTATAACTTAGCCCACAGGCTAAGAGCTAACATTTCATTGCAAAATACAAACCAAACCCTCAAAAGTATGTCATGTGGCTTTTTAATGTTTCCAAAAATAGTCTCTGATAGTTGTTTTACAAAGGCATCCATAAGTTTAACAGGTATGGAGATCTTATGTAAACACAGACGATAAGGAATTGGCTGTGGTACAAACACTTTATACTTATACTCACAGTTGAAAAGTCATGTCAGTTTTAAAAAACAGCCATATCTAGTGTCCTAAAGATACCCAATTGAAATAACATTGTTTGGAATCCAAATATATATTTTTGATAAATTGTAGTTATCGTAACACAGTAAAATGGTTTGATATGTATGAATTCTAACGTATATTCACACTTGACATGATAGGTATCATCATCCCATCCTATTTTTAGGTAAATTCATTTTATAATTTTTTTTATCTTTACAATTATAGTGAAAAAGTGTGAGACTTGATGTCAGTCAATTGATGGAAGCATCTAGAGACATAAATACATGCCTCTCATTGGCATACTGCCTATAACCATCTCAGGACAGTGGGAGAAAACATGGACCTAGAGAGTGACAAAATTCGGGAGCAGCAGCAGCAGCACCCCAAGTTAACATTTGTTTGAATTACTCAGTGGCAGTTTTCACAAGTGCCTCTGTTGGGACACAAAGAATTTGTGATTTCTTTGGGACATCAGATCTCAATCACCAATTATTCAGATATTTCTACTCTGCTTCTTCAGTTGATGCTGCTTGTCCAGTTGCACTCTCAACAGTTTTTGAAGCCTGCAAAATATTTATATTTATTTACAGACTGCTTGCATTTACAGAAAGAAATAGCATGTACAAAATGATTATTTACACTTATTACCTTCTTTTTCTTTTTCTTCTGTGCCTTTCGGCTAGCTGAACTTTGCAGCAAAGTCTGTGTGGAGCCAAAAATAATACATAAATACTGTAACCTTAGGCTTAACTCCCAACCTATTAAACTGGCAACTGCAAAGGCAGTTTTTTGTTTTTTACATTTACATTTTATGCCATGTCAGTCATTTACCTTGAGCTCTGGATCCTCCACATCAAACTCTGACTTGTAGTGTTCTGGCTCATAGAGGCTGTTTGTAATGCGCAGTGGTCCATTAGCCATGAGCAGCACAGTAAATTTAAACTGAGCAACAAATTCACCTACATGGAGAAAGTAAAACAAAGTGGCACATCTAAAATGTTGGATTAAGGAAATACTGCATAAAGTGAATCAATCGTAACAATTGAACATATTATAGAGTCATATAAAAATAAAGTTGGTAAACAATCACCTTCTTTCTCTTGTAGCACTGTGAACGGCTGCAACAACTCATGTTTTGCACACTCTATCACTCCTAACTTAGCTTTTCCTTCATCCTCAAAAGCTCTGGGGAAAAAATAATTTTAAATTGAAGAACTTTTTTTTTTTTTTTTTTACACATTTACAATTCACAATAAAATAATAACCTCAGAGTAAATGGCATTCTATCAAAGCGCCTCTCCATTTCACTGAAAAAAGCACGGGAGGTCTTCATCTTCAAGCCATACACTTTGTTCGGATCCCTTTTGTAGACAGTGGTCCTTTGTCCCCCATCCTTTGCCTTTGTATAAAAAAAAGTGAATTACTCAAGTTTTAGATATGTTTTTTAAAAGGAATGAAACATAATTTTTTTTTTTACCTTTCCCTCTCCTGTACTGACAAGGACGTCAATTGCATACACCTCATGCACCTCAAACTCAGCTTTTTCATGGTCCTTTCTGTTAAAAGTGAGAGGTGTAAAATGTTTGTGTAAAAAGTTTTTGAAAAGTACAAACGACATTAAAAAGGCACTCTAATTTTTCTGGTGAAGGGTACACCACATGGCCCCATGGCGATGCTTGCTTTGCTTAGAAATGTTCCACAGTATGGCAATAAACTTGTCCATCTTCATGGAGAACAGCAGGTGGCGCATGAGGCCAAGTTACAAACTGGTTCTGAGAAGAGGGGACGCCATTCAGATGCTAAAGAGATACATTTAAAGCCGTACTGTGGAACATTACAGTGAATGCAATGCCAGCTTATTAGAGGTCTCAAAGTGATGTGCCCAGCATCAAAAGTGCACCTAAACTCCAATTTCTTACTTTTGCTGGTCAGTTGGATTTTGGATGATGGTTTTCTCCCCATCAATGACATGTTGCTTTAGTTGGTGAGACAGCATACCTGAAGAAAAGAAAAAAAAAAAAAAACACATGGCCTTATTTGACAAAAAAAAATGGGCAAGGCCCACCTAGAGTTTTGTTCATACAATTCAAATGAGATTTTGTTTAATGTTGCAAACCAGCAAGTAACCCTGGTGCTGTTAAAAAAGGTCCAAGAAGCAGATAATTATTGGATTTTGGTGTTAATGACACCACAGTCAATCTTATTATTGAGAGAAGAAGGTCATAAAAATCAGGTATAGTACTTTTAACTCTTAATTGAAAACTATGAGTTGACCTCTTTTGAGGGTTAACAAACTCAAGTTTGGGCTAAACCTGCTTTTTAAAACAGGGCCACTATAGTAGTAGTGGTAATAGATTTTCTTCATGAACTTTATACTTTATAGTTCTTACTCTTACTACTTACCTTCTATAGGGGAGCATTTGAATGACTTTGAAATCTTGTTCCAAGCTTCTGTAACCTGAGTGTTCTGGTGGATAAAAGTTCACGAAGGTAAAGATTGAACACAGAGGACCAATGTAAAGTTATACAGTATGGTTGTACCTGGTTTCCTGGTTTCACAAGACGCAAAGCAGCTTCAGCACAGAGGTGTGCTGCTTTGATAACGTCGGCTTTTCTCCCAGTCACAGGATTCTCCTAAACCAATAAAAGAATTAAAGAATATACATTAGTACTTGCTGGTCAGAAGGCTTGGTTTAGTGGAATAGAGTGCATCAGAAATCTACCTTGGTAACTCCAACAACAAAGGTGTGTGCCACGTTTGAGATGAAGCCATCGACATGCACACCCAAGTCACTTCAAAGAAATGCAGATTAAGTATGACACAGAAATATAAACTTTAGGAATAAATATAATTGTAAATGGTATGTTACATTTTTACAAGATCTCCATCCTTTAATATGACATCAGGGTCACTCTTCAGAGGAGAATAATGGCAAACGCAGTTGTTTATCGAGACACAAGTTGGAAACGCAATACCTGTAACAGAAAGGCAGATAAAAGTCAGTCACAAAGAAAGTAACAAGCAACTGCAACGTAAATAACTGATGAATAAAATATACTGTCACCTTTCTTCATTTCCTTTTCCCTCTTAAAAATTTTTCCAGCTTCTTGCATGATGAAAGCATCTCCTTTTTCACAAAGACTTAACACAGACACTCCCGGTGTAGCTGCTTCAAATACAAGCTTTAAAGCCCCTGCAAAAAATATTATTTATAGATTTTGTTAATTACAAGAGAAGTCTGCATAAATAAAAAATAAAAAGTATTCAGCAGTTCAGATAGCTGCTTCAGAAAAGAGGACGACATAATACTGCTTTTATCTCAAAATTATTTAAAACCTCGACACAGTGATCAGATATGGACTGAATAAGAACCCTTTAGCCAATGTAAGTACATTTTTTATTTCTTGAATTCTAAAATGCTTTAGATTAGGGATGATAGCTATAAAGTGTAAACGTTTGTTTAAATGAGGCATTTGAGTTCTTCAAACTTGCAGTGGTCATCATGCATTGAACACGTTAGCGGCTAGCTCAACTACAACTGATAGCTAAAACAGACCTAGCATAATAGGCTACAATGGCAGCACGTTGAGACGGGACTTTAACTCATATTCCTTATATCGCATGCTTGTATATAACAGCTGCTGTAACATTCTGTGGAATGATTGGCGACACTTAAAACTAAACCACACAAACAGCTGCTCGAGTACGAATAGCTTGCAATGCTAGCTAACATGAGACTCATACAGAAGTGTTCATTCAAAACGACACGTTGTCGGGGTCTTACGGTTAGCTATTTCGGCTCCCATTTTGTACTTGGTGACCACCACATCTTCTGCAATTGTTTGCTCTGGAGTGTCCTCGTCTCCAGACATGTTGGCAGTGTGCTCACGAACTCCGCGGAACTTTCCCTTCCGTGGGTGTCAGACAGACAGAGGAAAGACCACGCTGCAGTGTACCGCCCGAGTACTCCGGCTGCTGCTGCCTACGAGTGACAGACAGATCCCGCCTACTGCCAAAGACACGCTGTGCTGTCAAGATAAATAAACCAAATCGTAGGTATTTGCATAAATCTTTGGTATCTTGGCATTTGTGATAACTTGGACCCATGTATTGTTAATAAGTACCACAGAAATATGAATATTCTGAAGTTAATCCTGGTCAGTAAAAATGAAATATCAAGTCAATACCATTACTTTACGGACGCTCCAGCTCCACGAAACCAGAAATGCGTTGTCTATAACCATCTCATAAACCCTATTTATCACATTTGAACAAATTGAGAGCGATTACGCCAAAATTAATACAAATAAATAAATAAATAAATTGTATATTTATTAAAATAGCATACATAATTAAAACAATAATGTCAGGATGCTAAATAAAAACCGACAAAACAGTAAAACATTTATAGGCCCTGAAAACAGTAAAGGATCATACAAAATGACTTCTTCTATTCCCCCTCACAATTATGGAAATAGGCTGTGTTGAGTGAAACTGTTCAGTGTTGCTCTCCCAGTAGTAGGAATACATACTATTAGATGCGAAGAGCATCTGGCTTTAAGAACAGTCTGCTGTGCCAATAATCTGGGTTATCAAAAGAGGTGTTATTCTCGGGTTCCCCTATAGCTGCACACACCTTGATGTATCCCTCAATCCCTGCACACTTGGTACCGCCCAGCTCCTCAGAAACTGCCTTGTCTCTCTTTGGCAAGTTCTGGTACATGGGCTGTTCCCACCCATTGGACCCACTGGTCATCTCCTCATAGTCATCTTCCTTTTCTTCTCCAGTAATGGGCACATCTGGTTTGGTATTGACAATAATGTCTGCATGGGTTTGTAATTCTTGACATGTTTCTTCAGTTTCTGCTGATTCCACCAATGATGTCTCACTTTCTCTGCTCTTTAGACTGGATTCATTTTCCTCCAGTGAGTTGGAACACTTTATATCTAGATATTCATACCTGTCAATCTGCGGGACTGCCTCTTTCTGTTCATCTCCAGTCCCAGTATTTCCATAAAGCACATTTAGCTGTTCTGCAACCTCAGGTTTCACTGCAGCCTCTGTGCAGTCTTCATCTACAGTTTTGTTTGTGACAGAGATGACTGGAGTTTCCATGTGACTGACAATGTCTTCTAAAAGTAATGGCGCAATAGATGTTGGAGATGGTAAAGTTGTCATTTTATAACCAAGAGCCACAAGAGGAGCATCAATCTTGGTTGTGATGCCCCGAGTTCCACATGAAGAAGCACTTCCCTTTTTACCCATAATTTCATACTCTTGGGGCTGTTTTATCATCAAAGGGGATAAATTCTTCATAAAAGATTTAGAATTTTTCTTTGTAGGGTGACAAATTCTACGAACTGAAATAAAGTAAAATTAGCTGTTTTATCAATGGAAATCAAACCTTACAGACAATAACAGACCATTAGACCTTACCTCTTTCTGTTTGGTCACGTGATCCTGGCAGAACATAACCATAATGATCTATATCTTCTCCTGCTTCTGTTGTCCACACTCGGAATGAACATGGGCTCGATGCTGTGGACAACTTCCTGTGTTGATTTTTTGTTTTGAAAGTGTTATTCCTCTTGGAGTCAAGCCTAGATCTATGAAAACCAGTTGCCAAACAGTTTTCCTCAAATACTTCATGTCCCATGACCCCTGATCTTTCTGGTAAAGTTTGCACTGAGTTTAGACGTGGTCTTTGGCACCAGAGCTGGGAGAAAGAGGAGTTAAATTTATTCACTTCAATTTAGTTTAACTCTGTGTTTTTGCTTGTACCTGCTTGATACTGTCTATAGGACCAGTCATCGGTAGATATCCAATAGGTCCAGTCTGAGAAATATCACTCTACAAAAAGGTTTAATTTTAGAGTTTAGTTTCTGCTTTTTAAGCATTTGTAAGCTTCAGTTATTTTTCTTACCCTATTTGAGTTTAGCCTAGAGCGATAATGATTCCAGGAGGGAGAATGATATAAGGGAGGTGTGGCTAACCCCTCTTCTAAAGCACAGTCATCTTCATCATGGAAATTTGTATCCAAGCGTCCACGATCCAGCTCTCTGTGGTGGATGTCCTCAGCTGAAATGTCAGAGACCTAAAAGCAACAAGAGTTAATACTTGATAGAAACATGCTTTTGTATATTTTTCTTCCAGTTATTCCACCTTAATCACAAGGTATCTCGATGGGTCCCTAGCCATTCGTGTAAAGTCGCTAACCAGCTCTTTGAAAGTGGGCCGAATATTTTCATCAATCATCCAGCCTGAAAATAGTGTAAAAGTATAAAGTATAATAGTAATGTGACTTAACTTATTCACAGCAAATTAACCCACATTTAACCATGACCATGTAGACATCTATGGTGCAGATCTGAGGCTGTGAGAGGCGCTCCCCCTTTTCCAGCAGGCCTGGGACATCCTGAGGTAGCACGGACGCATATGGCTCCGCCCCAAATGACATCATCTCCCACACTGTCACCCCTGTAATATTAAAATGTGTAAAATAAAATTTGTTTATTTAAATGTGTCTTCAACATATTTACTAATCATTGATTTTTTATGACTGTAATTTGTATTTCATTCACCATAACTCCAGACATCACTTTGATGACTGTATCTCCGGAACAAGATGCTTTCAAGTGCCATCCATTTTATCGGAGTCTGTGGTAAAAGATTAAAGATCCAATATTTCAGGATAAGGATTAGGATTCTTATGACCTTTTAGCAATGTTATAATGTTGTTATCTTATATAGTAGTGTTGTGTTTGGTTTCATTTCCATGTTTGAGTAAACCTGGTTTATTAATCTGTCTTCATTTCCAAGCTCAAAATGCTTTGTTACGTCATTGAGTGGTAGTCTTCGAATTAACAGCTACCTTTTACCCTTTGTTCAGTATAGATTGATATATGCAGGGCTGAAATTGTCCAAATTATTGTAGTGAAGGGGTACAGAGTTTGAAACACAGTGAAGCACTTCCCGTATTACCCCATAACATTACAAGGTAGAACTGAGTGTTTCATTTTAAGAGAAGATCTCAGCCTAAATATACAGTGTTTGTGGGTTAAACATGTGTGAGGGAAACAAAACACAACTCCATGCACTTTTTGTTGAGGAAACAGCATTACAACAGATTGGAAAATAGCATAATATAAGCATTCTAACCCCTGCAGATTAGTTTGGGACCATAACAGTAAAAATGGTAGTAAGACTAAAACATATTGGGTAATGACTGAATGAGTCACAGTCACCTTGGTGTCAATATAAACATATTTCTTGTCATCTGGATAGAGGAGGTCTGCAACACCATAGTCGGAGATCTGAACCTGGTAGTCACTCTTCAGCAGAATGTTACGTGTTGCAAGGTTTCTATGGACCATGCAGTGCTCCTCAAGATAGTACATGCCCTGAAAGACATTTTTATATCATGAATTTGGGCTTCACAATATTATGAAATTATTTTAAAGAAATTGTTGTTGTTTTTATTAACCTTATTCATAGCAACAAAAATATATTAATAAAATAATAGTAAGCCATAATGTTATGTATCTTCAGACAGAGGTGTTGTAGTTGGTTTATTCTAGTTTGTGTAAATAGTAATTAGTAATACACTTTAGTTTTCAATCAATATATTGGCATCTTTAATACATGTCCTCTCACCTTGGCAATTTGCACACACCAGTTGAGTAGGCGCTGCGGGTCTAGCCTGTGCTTGTTGTTTCTTACATGATCCAGCAGAGAACCTCGAGAACTAAATGGAGTCACCAACTGCAGGCTAACCCCCGGACAAATGCCCAGCAGTCTGATGACATATGGGTGGTCCAGGCTTCCCATAGACAACATGTGCTATAGAGAGGGAGAAAAATAATTTTTATAAATCAAATCACTGCATTAAGGGCATGTTTAGGAAGCTAACAATAACAAATAAATATTGTCTTCTTACATCAGTTATCTGAGTAAAACTTTGGCGTCCAGTGCAGTCGTGAATGGTCTTAATGGCGACAGGGATTTTAACGGATTCACCTTCTGGAGTCCAAAAGCCCTAGAGTTGAGTTTACAAAGTGACATTGGTTTTGAAAAAAAAAAATTGTTATCACACATTTTATTTGTATTAAATGTAAATGCTTGAAATGAATATTCTAAAATGTAAGCGAAGTGTGGGTGATTGTATATGTATATATACATTGTAAATGTATAAGCTTTGCTTCATCCATCCCCTTTTCAAACCATTCATGTTTGTATCTGCATCTGTACTGATAGGTTGTTATATCAACTGTATGTGCAGGTTTGAAATAACTAAGTATTTTGTCGTATACAGGTATATGATATTATAAACAAACTACTTAGATAAGTGGGTTTGTCTAGAATATTCCATATTGAGGCAGAAGAATGAGGGAGTAGAGGTTTTCATATCTACCTTACCTTGTGCACAGTGCCAAACACTCCTGAACCAATTGGTTTGATTTTTCTTAAGTCTGAAGGACGCAGAATCCTAGCTTGAACCTTGGTCCCTTTCTCTCCAGGACCTAAAGGTTCAAAACTCTGAAAAAAAAAGATTATGTTAACGTACAATCTGTTTCATATTTGTAAATTAAACAAACTTTTTAAAAATTACTTCTCACCTCTCCACTCTCCAGATACCTCCTCATGGCTCTCTTGCGGCGAATGGCAAGGCCTCTGTGGTACAGTAGGCCAAGGAAAAACACTACTAGACAGAAAATCAAACCCGCTGGGACACCTAGAACTATACCTGTCATCTGACCACTGTAGAGAAAGCAGAAATAGATCTACTACTATACCAGCATTTAAATTTACATTACCGTGGCTTTGCCATTAGAGGGAGCCCTTACCTACTAATTGCCAGTCCGTTTTCTAAACAGTAGGACAGTCCTGGACCCGAGCATCTAAAAGACATCCTATAATGTAGCGTGAACCTCATCAGCATATATTTATGTAAAATAATTGTAAAAATTTACCCCTGTGTGCAGTTGGGGTGACATGCTTCACAGTGACCCTCTCTGTTTGGATATTTAAAAATGAGCCCCTTCTGACCATCATTTACTCCAGCCGGACATGAGGACATGCAGAATGGTCCATCCTTAAAGTTAATGCAGGCTATGCACTCATCTGCACCCTACAACATAAAGGTTATTTATTTGGGTAAATGAAAAAATAACTTTAACATAGTTTTCATGACAATTTTGAGTCTATCAGACAGCATTTGATCAAGTATTTTGTTCAAATTATGCTTACTGGCCCGGAGCAGCTGGCCTTTCCATACTGAGGTCGACACTCTGCATGACAAGGCACACAACCTCCATCACGGTTTGCAAACTCCCTGGGAAGCCTGTGCACAGTGTCAGATGTCAATATTTTCATATCAAGAGATTTCATGACACAAAGCGAAAAACAAATAATAGACCCTCTGTGGAAGTTACAGCTGTTCACACAGGTGCCATCTCGACTGAAGTTTCTGCAAGACAGACACTGGTCTGGCCCAGGGCCCCAGCACCCAGAGTCTGAACACAGTGGATCACATACATGGCCTTCTTCAACTGCAAGAACAGACTTGTGTAAAAAGCACTGGAGTAACAGGTCTTTGACAGGTCCTGTGACGCTGAGCAGTACAAACACTGGAATAAAATATTTAGGAATATGCATATGCAACAGGGCTCACCACAAGTGTCCTGAGGTTTGTTATTGTTGATGTTGTTGACTCTCACTAGACTGCCTCTGAACAGCTGGGTCCAGTTCACAGTGTCATGGTAACACAGGTTTTTATTCTGACTGATGTACACACTGCCATCACTGATCTCTCTAAGAGAGCGCAGGCCCAGAGATGTGAGGGAGGGGATCCGCATCACCATCAGGGAAAAGCGTCTGTGGCAAATACATATGCCTTTTTATATATATAATAGTATTCTTTCATTCAAACCAGATATTCTGAAAATTATTTTATTCAGGAGACATGTCTTATAACTGGGAAGGTCAGCAATATAAAAAGCAGAACTTACTTGAAGAGAGATCTCCCTTGGATTGTTGTAAGACTCGAAAACACGGACAAATCATTGAGTTCTTTTGGCCAAGACTGAATATTCAGGATATCTGTAATGACATCAAACAAAAACTACAAAATCAACCTGTGACTTAGAATAATTTATTTCACATCTAATCATACATACCGGTGATTTCTCTGACTGTTCTGAATATTTCCAGCTTTTTAGCCTCTAAAGGTGGGATCTTTTTAAAGTCATCTCTGAAAATCAAAACAGGAACCATTATTTTGACAATGTCAGACATCTTACAAATATTATAGGACAAAGGACAACTACCCCAGAATCCCTGTGACGAGGAAATGCAGGCTGCCCTGGATCTTGGTGCAGTTGATGAAGCTGTCAATGTTACTGGAGTCCACAGTCTGTCTGTGTTCTGCACCAGTGCCTTCACATACTACATGACAAAACACACATATTAAATATAATTAATTTAAAACACTGAATCAAATATTTGGTTCTTACCTTTGGGACAGAGTCCGCTGCAGAGTTCACACTGTCTCTGGCCTTCCCTCTCCACCTCCATCTTGTCAGGAGGACAGACACTGACACAGGAGCTGCCATCCACCACAAAATGAGCTAGATAAACATAGCAAAGAATAATGACATGAATGAAGCCATAAGTCATAGGTCTTTTACATGAGGTCTGTAGGACGTTAACTTACTGGGGCATTGTGAGACACAAATGGAGCCGTACTGATATTTGGCATTGGGATTTGGTTCCATTTGAAACATCTGTTTGTTATAGATTAGATTCTGAGGGCACTGTCGCACACAGGATCCAGAGTCATTGAAATGACGACAAGCCTTTGCAGAAAAAAGTATTGATTAATTAATATAGAAAATAAAATACCAAAAAAGTATACTTTTCATGATGTAATTCTTCTTATAATATGACATTTAATAAATGTCGTTGCATGTTTATAAGCATGCAAATTTTATAGTTCAGAGTTAAATTTTTTTACATTTTTTACAGTTTTATATTTAGAGAGTTTTTACAAAGCAGTCGACGTCCAGAGGGCCCTGGCACCCTGCTGCACACTCGCTATGGCAGCAGTCCCGTGGGCTGGTCCCAAAGCAGCGTCCATTACACTGAGGAGCACACACTGTCTTTGTCACTGACACAGAGGAAAAAAAGGAGGGTAACCAAGGTCACTTGGACATAGGGCTCAGGTCAATGGGGGACTGTGCTCCAAAACCAAATAAGTACAATCAAGTAAATAAGATCTCACATATCTGACACTGGTTTTCATTTGGACCCCAGCAATAGTCTCTACAGGAATGGTGACAGGGGCCTAAAATGATGAATGACCACATAGTAAAAATGCACAGGATACATATACAATCATATAAACATTTAAACCAACCTTTCTCTCCATTGTACTGAATCTCTATTGGTGCACTATTGTCCCTAATTATATCTTGCCAGAATATCCACGGACCATAGCTCAAATATTTGTTATTTATGATCTGAACTCCTCCTTCCAGGATCTCTGTAAAACATATGTATAAGATGCTGTTATGCTTAACAACTTTACTTCAACATAATTCAAATATCAAATACTGATAAAAAATGTAATACAAATAAGTTATACCAGTAAGATTTTGTAGACCTAGCTGCCTTAGGCCATTGGAGCCATCTTTGGGATAGTTAAAGAAGACAGAAAGGGCAAATCGCCTTTCATACAAGTTGTTGCCTCTGATCACCCGTAGCTGCCCTAAGGGGATGTCTTGAAAATGATTCATAGCAATGAGGACATAGCCAGTTACTTCACGGATAGTCTGGAGAAATACAAAAGTAGACCAATTGAACTAAATGAAATAATCATGCATCCAAAATCATGTAACATTTCAATTGCTAATTTACCTTAAGGAAGGAGAAGTCCCAGTTGCTTTCAATCTGAGTGATTTCCAGGTTTCCCATGACGATCTCACAGCCATCATATCGATCTCTGATGAGGTTATACTGATTTTCCTGAGATCCTGTGGAGCTAAGTCCATTCTGAGTCCCAGGACACACCACTGCAAAACAAACATTTTGAACAAGATAACAACAAAAAAGTATTTTTTTTATAACACTGAGCACATTGACAGAATTATGTGGTGATGGCATGGCTCATTAGTTGTGTGCTAAATATGGGTTGTAAGCTGTAGATTTCTGATATGTTTGTAAAAAAGGGATATGTTATCAGTATACACACAATGGCATTGCAGGATTAAAGTAATTAAGAATAAGATCCACCAACGCAGTGCAACCCTACAAGTTTTCAAACCACAATAAAATGTGTTTGCAACTAAGGAATCTGTAAAATGGTTAGGGGTTCAGCAATTTGCAGCAAGTGTTAAGGGCCTTGTGTTGCTGATGCCGAAATTGAGTGCACTGGGTCGTCTTCAGTCCTGGTCTGGTTCTGGCCTGGGGCAGCAGAACCTCCTCAGACAAAGCAGTGCATTGTGGTAAAGCTCTAAATGTGAACAGTGTGTCAGAGGGAGCAAGAGTGATGCAGTGACAGACAGTGCTCCAGTGTGTGAGATGTGCATGTAGTATATGTGTCCGAGGGCTCTGCGTCTCTGAGATCATACCGTAGGACAAAGAGCTGAGTGTGGAGGGAGCACACTGGCAGGAAGAGATACAGAGTGAGCACAAAAACACATGTACACCAGCTTTTTCAGGGACCAACATTCTACTAGCATGTATGCATCTGCACCTGGTTCTGCTGTTACAAATACTCATGTTGCTATATTAAAATTACTTTACACAATTTTTAGTTGATCTTTTTAAAATGAGTTTAGCAGGATTGATGCAATCTTACTTGGATTATCATTCGTTATATGTTACATACAAAATCCAAACGAATTATACTGCAATAAATCAATAAAACTGTAATAATAAACAGTTATAATAAAAGGATAAGAAATTTTACTTTTTACACAAAAAAAAAATTGTTATGGCAATTCCTTCACTTGGATATCACGAGGTTATAGATAAGCATTAAAACTAGACTAAGTATTGTAGCGTTCAGCTAGTATTCAATACGTAACTTACTTTCATGCGACTGTGACGTTGTTGGTGTAAAGATGGAGAGTAGTGTCACGTACGCTAAAGTCGCTCTTCGCCATTGAAGCATCATGAGGCCGATTCTGTTATCACATCCCAAAATATATTACCAAAAATGCATGATGTTTGAAACTATAATAATTCCAGCGTTTCCAGTAAAAGAGAAAATATAAAATGTGCCAAAACAAAGTAAAAGACAGGCAACAAGTTGCTGGACGTGCTGATGCTGGTATTTCCCTCCCAGAGAGTGGCACGTGATTGGCCAGTATTCCCAGCAGCCAATCAGATCTCGGTCCGTCTTTTTTTCCCCTCCCCCCTGAACCTAAAATAAAACTAAACGCTATTCATTTTCGTGTTGCTCATGTTTTATGTAAGAGATTAGGAGCAGATATTTATCCTAAGCTAAAATCTTGAATCAAGTTCATGAAACACACTTGTCTCTATTAAAAAAAAACAGAATATTATTTAATAGTTATCACCATTAGCCATTCAATGATTTTAGTTCAAAATTTATTTTAATAGGTGTTAACATCGAAAAAGCCTGAGCCTGTATGCAATTGCGTCTTTTTTATGTGGTGGTATTTTGGTTGGTGTTGTCAGCTGCTGCATGAGGAAGCTGGGCTGTAGACCCCTCTGTTCTGAGTGCCTTCACTGTTCCTAGTCCAAAGAGCAGTATTGTCTGCACAGCCCCGTCAACTGGTTAATCACTTCTTTGATGCGTATGGAGCAGAAAGCTACAATAGGAACATTGTCAGACTGTCGAGTGACTTCTCTGAACCCAAAACTAGATCATGTTTAATTTCTCTTTTAAGACATGGTTAGATTCCTATGATGCAGGATAATTTTTTCTCCACTCACTTTAGTCCTTGTAGAGACTTAAAGAGAACTGGGATGAGACTGGGACTAGATCAGAACAATAAGGTCAAACCAAGTCTAAATGGACTGGACCAGGTTTAGTTACATGTTTTGTCAAACTTATGATGTTATGTGTGAGGGTGCGACACACTTGTACTTGTTGGATTCTGGTTTGAGCTCAGTTTAATCCAGAAGGAAATTTTGGTTTGGTCCTGTTCCAAATTCAATGCCAGTTTCAATGTGTGGTTGAGTGTGAACATTGTGGGAACTAAAATCCATACACATGCTGAATTCAAGGGGACATCGTTTAGGGGAAGAAAAATTAGGTCCTAGTGATATCATACCTTCAATATTATGATACATTTACACTGTAACAGTTTAAAATGTTCATTAATATACATTGCCCCTCTCTAATAAATAAAACAACATACTTTAAAGAAATGTGTTTTGCATCTGAAAGTGTCATCTGCACAAATCAGGTTAATGAAAACACACCACCAAGAAACAGAAATCCAAGATCAATAAATATGAAATAAATACTTAAATATATTAACATGTATGTTTTGTATGATCCAGTGATATTGATTCATGTTTTTGTTATTCAAGGTAGCCCTGGAATAGAAAAGACTAACACTGAACTGTCCACATTTCTCTGTCCAGCAGGAGGAGGTAGTGTCTCAAGATTTTGACAAGGAACTGGATGCTACAGGGACCCCATTCAGAAACTGTATTCAAATTATTAATGAGCTCTTTTCTCCCCTAGAATAAAATCAATTCATCATCAATTAAATGTGATATTATCTAGAGGCACTGAATTGAAATTACATTTAGTCACGCTGTTGAATAAGGCCACTGTTCATTTTGTGACCTATTGTCTGTTACCTATTTAAGTGTAGAGTCCATCATTAATTT